CCCCCCCTCTCCCCCCGGGCGGGGTTCCCAAAAAACGTGGGCCCCCCTTAAAAGTTTTAAAAAAAAAAAAAAAAAAAAAAAAAAAACACGTCTGGGAGCCTATTATCAATTTTATTTAGTTGATTTCACTTTAAGAATGATATTAAGATACCTGCAGTCAGCTGCACAAACAAGAACGCAAACCAAACTTATCATTTTATTGTATAACTTTTAATGAGGAAAAATACGGCGGCAAAGAATAGCAGCCATCAACCATAATGACTGCCTGGATGGAATCGCGCCTTTGCCAGCAAACACATTTTATCAAGGTAAGAAGATTAACGTTCATAAACTTTATAAGTAAGTATGATTAGAAAGATATCATACAATGCATTATGATGTCCCATGGTTATGTAGCCTAGGATGTATGGAAAAAACCTAGTTAGCATCTCATCTTTTGTACGTTTTTAAGGTAAGGAGAGTTTTACACTGTGACATAAATTATGTGGTGTGAATTCAGGCAAAGTCTGTAATTTAACCAACACACCAGGAGGGAGGAGGGTCGGTTTCTAAGCTAGCTGTTAGCTTTTATGAATATCGGCGTTTGAGAGCCCAAACTAGGTGTGTTACATTCAGACAAATGACTTCAAAAAGCAGAAGCCACGGCTAAATTGGCAAAAACAATTTTTGGGGAAAACAATTTCAGTCGCTCTGTTCAATACTACCGTCCCCCACTTCCAATGTCTGTCATGATGCCTCGAGTGACAAAGTGACGTAGTTGCAAAGGGTGAATACATAGTTCTCATGTGATGTCATCCTTTTGTGAGCTTGGTAACTGACAGCCATCTTAGCAGGCAGTTGCTATGACAGTAAATAAGACACAAGCTCAGAGCTAGCACTGCCTCTTTCCTATCTAACTTATAAACTGTATGAGTGCATTACAATTATTACTGTAGGACAATTTTTGAATACTTACCCATATTGGTGAAATACTACAATAAATAAATGTAGTATTTACAGTATGGTTACTGACAAACTAATAAAATTAGCTTAGCTAATGTAGCTTTTCTACAAGCTACTTACTCTGCCAGTCCCCAGAACCTTAACCTGTCATTCACTAGAGGACCCAAATTTGGGTCCTCTCGTGACAGGGGTGTCAAACTCCAGTCCTCAAGGGCCGCTGTCCTGCAACTTTTAGATGTGCCTCTGCTGCACCACACCTGAAAAGAATAATTAGGTCATTAGCAAGGCTCAGGAGAACCGATCTACACAGGGAGGAGGTAATTAAGCCATTTCATTCCACTGTTTTTTACCTGTGGCACATCTAAACACTGCAGGACAGCGGCCCTTGAGGACTGGAGTTTGACACCCCTGTGTGAATGACAACCTGTGAATGACAGGTTAAGCTTATAGTTGACACATTGAACTGGGCATGAGGGGTTGCGCACTAATTGGGCCGTCCCTGTACCTGTCACATGCTATTATTTCCAAATTATGATCATGCACCTCAAATTTTTGTAACCTTTTACATTTTTTAACATAAAAATACAGCTGATGCACAGCCTTAGCGTTCCTACAACTGGGCTTAGAATGATTGAAAAACTTGAGAGATTTTCAGTCAGGTTACTTTTACCTTGTTGTGCAAAATTACCCCTTAACCCATAAACTGGTTTTTACATCTGCAAATAAAATGCTCTATATCCTATCCAAAGACCTTCCTCTCTATGCTGTTACATCTTTTTGTTTGACTTTGTCACCTGAATAATGATATCTATTTCCTAAGGCTTTATTTGGCCTGTTCTACCTTTGCTCGCCGAGTAAGTTTGCCCCAAGACAAGAATCCGTACAGGACACTTAAAATAACAATCAATCACAGAGTATTGTTTCACTGCTGCTCGCAATATATAACTGCGTCCACCATGTCCCATCCCCTGTGGTCCATCAGCGGTATGAGAACCTGACGTGAAAAGAGACAATTGAGCTTTGAAGAGACGGCGTGAACGTGACCGAAGTACTCAGCAGTCGGTTTTTACTTTCTGGGAAAGATCGTTCTGTGGTGTCTTGGAGAACGCTTGACCTTCCTTGTTGTGCTGGCAGAGGATGAAGACAGAGTGTAATCCAATGGGATTTTGATACATCGCAGTGCTGCTTTCTCTTTGTCTTTATGTAATTACCAATAAAAATGCGAAGAGATGCTATTGAAGAGGACTGAGGACACAGAGACTGGGACAGGAAACGCAGCTGATCAGCGCTCGGTCTGGGCACGATTCAAAACAAAGTCTTTGGCCATGTCATACTGTTTTAAAATATCAAATATGTGTGAAACCAAAGAGTTTGGGTCAAAATATTTTTTGCTTTTTGTTTCTAAAAGTAAAACTAGACACTAAGTTTATGTTATATTAGTTGTGGGTACTAACGGGATTGTGGATTTCTTTGCTGAAATAAGAAATCCTTCATTCCAGCAAAAGTGGTTTCAAAGAGTTGAGTTTTTTTGTTGTCTATTTGGATTACTTTGGTAAATTATGACTTTTGCAAACTGAAAATGCTTTTTTTTCGTCCTTGTTCTGTCAAAATGTAAAGAACCGTCTTCACAAAGATAACAGATGAGAGAAATCTGAGCCTTTTTGGTAGCTTTAGTTTATTCTTGATCACTGCATTGTTATTGTTGTTTCTATTTTTTAATAGCAGATGATTGAAATGAAAATGAATTCTGTCAAAATCCATACAATTACAATACTGTCTCTATTGTAGTGTAGTGTCAGAGAGTGGTAACTTGAACATTTTTAAAAAATATTTCAATGTCCTATGACCGCAGGAAACCCAAGATGTTCGACTTTCATAACGGTAATGAAGTTTGCTGAAAGAAAAAAAAAAAGTTTGAACATTCGGGTCAAACTTGAGATGTGAGTGGCATCCAAAGCAACACGAACCCACCACCACGGCCTTGATGTAAACCCAGCTGACTCAGATCAATATGTTCTATCAAACCCCATCAATCCACCAAAAGGTCCAGAAGAATGATGAATAAAAAATGAAGAATGGAAAAAAAAGAAAAAAAAAACTATGTGAGTTATTGCAGGTTTGGGGTCCAGCTCCATCCTAAGCTTTTATTGTTGGTTATTTCAATTTGCAAGTTTCCATCAGACGTTCCCAGATCTATTTCGTCCGTATGTCTATAATGTAAATCTTCTTGAAATGAACAAAATATTGCTCATGCAAATATTAGAACCATTCAGCTTCTATGCACCACAAATCTGGAACAAACTTCCAGAAAACTGTGAAACAGCCAAAACATTGAGTCCCTTCAAATCCAGGCTAAAAACCCAACATGCTAAAATTTGACTGATAATTACTGGAATATTGATAAACATATTTGTTGTATATGAATGATTTTGATGATGGCATTTGATAAAATGTTAGGTATGTTGCTGGTTTCTGTATTGATGACTTTATTATGTTTTTATGACTTTTATTTGTGTGTTTTCATGATGTAAAGCACTTTGAACTGCCTCGTTGCTGAAAAGAATTACACATAAAAACTTCATTAGCTGTTAAAAATAACGTTGTTTTTTTAAGCTAAATTTTCCTAAAAAGCCCGCTGTCCTTGGTGCTGATCCGAGGTTGGTTTTCTGTAGAGAAAATCCCCATCTTTGTGTTGGAAGTTTACATTTCCGTGGATTCCTCACTTGCGCGCGACACGGGGCCGCGCGCGCACCTTCGCTCGCGCACGTATATATTGCTCTTTTCCGCGTGTCTCTCTTTGCGTACACGGCTGCTGCCGTTTAAATATTCATTCCCTGCACCTCAAAGGCCCTTTTACTTCCCACCCCACCTGTATCCAGCGGCAGACACACCAGCGCCTCTACACAGTGGCTGTAAATATCAGCAAAACGACATCACCGGTCACCTCATACGTCTAACATTTTAGCTCCGCGTGTGTTTGAGATCTTTCACGTGGACCTTGTGCCAGTTAAACATCTGACAGAAGAGTGTAGTGAAATGGTTCAGACGGTCTTTCAGCTGGGATGAACTAACCCACAGAGCGCGTGCCTGCTTTGTACTGCGCAATCTTTAACGATTGCCGGTGAAGTCGTTGCGCTTTGAAACGTGAGCCGGGATCCCACAATAAAAAAATAAACAAATATATGATAATAGTCGCAACAGGCGGATGAGATAGCCAGAAAAAAGCTGCGTTCTGCACTGGGTTTAAATAGAAATGTAGTTCCCTTCTCTCTCTTTTTTTAATTTTTATTTTATTATTGTTGTTTTCGTGTCTACTGAGGAATTCCCCGACTTTGCAGAGGCGAGTCCCGCAGAGATGCTCGTTCAAAACCAAGTGACGGGCAAGAAAGCTGCGTTCCGCTCGCATCGCGGAGCACCAGGAGCGTTTGGATTGAAGTTGGCGATGGAGCGAACGCCAAGAGGCACGCGATGAGGAGCCCTTTTCTGACATTTTGATTTTTGTTATTTCCTTTTTATTTCATCCTTTTTTTTTTATTGTATTTTTGCAACGGCGCCGATCTGCCTCCCAGAGACGCGTGGTGAGCTCCCCAATCTCTGGGGGCGCAGCGCGTCAGCCTGCGCTGGCTGATGGAGCTGCCTCTGTTCAACTTGGATGCGCTTCTCTCTTTCGGTCTCATCACTTAAGTTTGTAGCGATTGCGTGAACTGAAAGCGGATGGAGAAGGGAAGGAGGAAACGCGGTAACCAATGTTCACGGCTTCAAGGCGCGTCGGGGTCCAATTATTTACCCCTTCCTTCTTTTACGGTTATGCAACAAATTTCACCACCGAATGACTTAAAACGATGAGGAAATCAATCTTCGGGACTTTTTGAACACTGAGGACCACTTCGGTTGTGATTGTGTTTTTTTTTTTTTTTTCTTTTTTTTTTTTTTTGGTTTCGAGAGCAAAGCGGTCGGAATATCGAGCCTGTTCATGGGGGAGACACATTGTTCGGGCTCTGGAGTTACAATGAAGAATTTGGAAAGTGGTGCTCACGTTTGAGGATTACCAGGCGTTTTTTTAAAAAACAATTTTTCTTCTCCTGCACAACACAGACGTCCAGGTTGATGTCTGAAAAGGTAAGAGAAACCAACGCGTCTGTCTGTCGTTTCTTGTTGCTTGTATTTGAATTGCAGCGGAGCAGGAGTTTAGGTTTTAAAACACTACTGAAATCAAATCCTGTCGATAATAGAAAAAAAAAAAAAATTCGGATTCATATGAGTCTGTTGCCTGTACCTCAGAGGCCTTGTGAATTTTGGGGACATTACATCACTTTTTAACAACAGCGTGACATTTATTTATTTATTTATTTTATTATTTATTTATTTATAATTTTAGCTGTATGAACTGCTTCATTACAGATATTGAATTTGAGTTTGGACATTAAAACTCAAATCGAATAATGATAATAATCATGTGTCTAATTAATAGACCCGTGTTTCCCCTTTTTTCTTTGAGTATAAAGTACATGCAGTACGTGGCGTTCACGTTTAGAGCCGGAGATCAAACAGAATGACAAATTATGTCACTACTTCAGCCTCGATTTTAAAATATACTGAAGTCTCAACAAGCGCAATTTGGGCTATTTTTGTTGTCGCCGATATTCCGGTTCAGACGGTTCGATGTCTGAATTATCTGAGAAACCAGCATCATTTAACTACGTACACGATTATATTCAATTCGGTTTTCCTTCCTATGTGACGCAAAGCGGTTGTCAACTGGTTGTGCAGAAGGAAAATACCTGTTAGGACCTCTGTCTGGGTCAATTTATGGCAAAAAGAAAAGAAAAAAAAAGTTTTGCATCCAGGCAAAAGGGGGCGCTCTTTCGGCTGATATTATGTGTTCTGTTATCCAGGAAAAAAAATCTCAGGCTTATGAAAGGTTAGAAATAAGATCCCTCATGTACAAGGCATTTCTATATCAGGATATAAATAAGTATTTTAGGTTCAATATGTATTGAATATATTAGTCAATGTTCCATTTATTGTGGTTCGAAAGCATTTCTAAACAGGTGGGTTTTTAGCCGTGATTTAAAGGAACTCAGTGTTTCAGCTGTTCTGCAGTTAACTGGGTGTTTTTATTTATTTATTTTCCAGATTTGTGGTATATAGAAGCTAAATGCTGCTTCTTAATGTTTGGTTCTGGTTCTGAGGATGAAAGACATTTCATCTCTTTCACTTCTCGGGCACTTTTAGAGGCTGTTTAGGATGGAAGAAACTGCTATCGTTTCTTTGTAATAAGTAATGTCATATTCAAGTCACCTCTGTATGCCTTCAACCTCTGTTTGGAAGACAGAAGGTGTTTCAACCACCTGACAATATGTAAAATTGACTTTTCTGAGCTTTACATTGTGATATTATTCTCTCATCAAAAGCATATCTGGACTGTTGCTTTAATTCTTTCATGCATGTTTGAGAAATCCTTTAATCTCCCACGGCAACCATTCGGTTGTGCAAAACGCCTGGGTGGGCCTAGCTCCGCCTAGCTCCACCTAGCTCCGCCTTTAACAACAGTGCTCCTCCTCAGAGGTGCAGTTTCTAAGCTTCGGCCTCACAGAGCAGCGCTCCTCTACAACTCCCCACTCGGCTTCTTCAGACTAGCCAGCAGGAATTTGCAAACACCTGGTGGAGCTGAACATCTGAGCTCATTATACAAGCTGCTTCTCAGTGTAACGCTGGTAAAAACATTAAGGGTTAATCGAGGAGTGATGCTGCAATGACTTCCAGAAGGTGGAGCGTTGGAAAGAGCTGGAGTTTCTTAAAGAGACAGAGGTCCAATTTGAAGGTGTTAAATTAAGAAGTCGAGTTTCTTTTAAGTTATATTTCATATACACAGCATTTTTATAACAACTGAAGGTAACATAGCTAGTTGATTCTGCTGTAAAATGGCAACATGCTGCTGGAAAATACATGATACTCCCCCTTTAAAAATTTCAGCAAATTTCCTATCTTATTTCAGCATGTATTTTACTTGCATTTTAGTTATAGTTTAGACAAAGCTTAATTACTTGCTGGAAAGCCAAATGATTTCCTCATAGTTTATTTTTCCTAAAATTGCTCAACATATGCTCTCTCTATGCCAATTTCATTTTTCTGGAGAACAGTAGGTACAATATTTTCTGCTTCATAAAACTAAACTAATATTTACTTTGACAGAGAGGCTAAGTCAGTTCCCAGTCGGTTGCAGTTTTTTCCTCCAGTTTTTTTATTTTTTTGGTTGTTGTTGCTGTGTCTGCCTTCTACAGTGAAGAAAAGGCTAGGTGTAAAACAGTATTTTGTGATTATTCACTGAGTTTGCATGATACTGAGCATCACTGTCCAGTAGCTGAAATCCCTGGCATCCGGTTTTATCCAAAATGTCCAAATATTGACATCAACATCAATGCTGCCGCAGTTCATGGGATGAATCTCTGAAGCGATTGAGAATATACCGCTGAGCAAAACCAGGGTGCAAAAACCAGGCAGTTTATGTTTTTTTAGTTTATGTCTGGGATCATTTCAAATGAGATCACACCTCACTGGATGAGGTTACCCTGATTGCGCTTTTGCTGAAAGCACTTCTCTGGGTGTCGAGATAATTACCACAATCATCCAGACTTTCATTGTACAGGAAATCAGCAACGTCTTGACTGATGAGGTGAGTGGTTCAGTTCCTCAATGTATAGCAACACAAAATCAAAACAACTATAATTGTATTTAGCTGTCGTGGGGATTATTTTGGTGCTGGGAGATTGTAATTCTGGCTGTAGATTTGTTTTTATCTGGATGCTCATTATGAGATACAGATTCTGAGGGAGATGCAGGAAAACATCCACTCCTCTTTCCTGACTCTAAGAATGCACCATATATTAGGCCAAAGGAAGCTATGCTAATTTCCAGACCCTCTGTACAAAGTGAAGCATAGAACAAGGGGCTGCTTGGCCACATAAAAATGTGGCCAGGAAATGTCTTTGCATGTTTTTATGGTTGAACTCTGTATGGCTCTGGTTAATATCTGTTCGTCAAGTGTTTTGCTGTTGCCTATCTACAGATTTAAATGAGGAAAATATGGATTCAAATGTGGTTCACGTGCAGCTCTCACAGCAGTTAAACAGTGATTACAGCAATTATTGTTCCAGAGAGGATAAAACTAAACGTGATAAAAAAATAAAAAAAAACTCTTGTGAAGAATCAAAAGTACTTAGTACTCTTACTTCTTCACATGCTTACTTTGACACCTTCCTGCAGCAGGAACAACAAAGTCTCAAAAAACGCTGCGAATGGAGGAGCGCAGCAACATACAGATGATAATAGGCTATGATATCGCTTTGCTGAAGGAGAATAAGCATTTGGGAAAGCAATAGAGAAACTGTGAGAATAGGAACAAACAATTCTTCAAGGTCAGGTCTCCACACACACCAACACAAACACACATTCTGTTGGAGAAGAATCCAATTCTCTGCAGAATGAACTTTGCCAAGGTGGTCTCCAGAGGATGGTGGGGGTCTCAAGCCTCTGGCCATGAGATAATCACATTCAGAGAGCGACCTCTGGTGTCCATCTCAACCATTTCTTGAAGGAAGTCAGTCTTCCAGGCTTCGTTTTCAGTTTCTTTTTTCAGATTTAATAATAATAATAATAATAATAAAGTGATCCATGTGGCCTTGACAGCTGTTAACACTCTATATTGATTTAGACGGACTTGGTGCTGTGGAGTTGCCCTGCAGCATGACAGTCCTGGATTCTGACTCCTGCTGCATGGAGTTTGCATATTCTTCTTTTGAATGCATGGATTCCTTCCAGCTACTGCAGCTTCGCCCCAATAGTCCAAAAATGTAGATTTAATTGGCTCCTGCAAACTGACCCAGAGGAGTGCATTGTTGTTTGTCCCTGTGGGTCTCTGGGTTGCCTTGTAATAAACTGGCAGATATTGTCTAGAGTCATTACATGCTAAAAATGTAGCATAAGTGTTTTTGTCTGTAAGTTTTGATGGTTGTGGCTTTGATGTAATAAAAATCCAACATTCGGTTTCTGAGAAAATATTGCTTAAAGGTACTTGCAGTTTTATGGAAAACTGACGTTTTATAGGTTTGTGTCATGTGATCATTTTATTCCTTCATCAAAACCACTCCTGGAGTGTTGCCTTGATTCTTTCATGCATGTTTGAAAAAAAAATCCTTAAATCTCCATGGCAACCATTTCGCTGTGCAAAACGCCCGGGGTGGACCTACCTGGGTGACCAATTGTTGTTGACTATTGTTTTCTTTTTGAGTAATTCCTCTTGATCAAGCCTTTTCTAGCATTCCGCTCTACAAATTACATATTAAAAGTATATCTGATTCGTGCTGATATCGTAGTGGGTCAACATTTAAGCCCCTAACTGTAGTAACACACCTTCTCTCCTCTAAACTCTGTAAAGGGTTTTGCTTCACAAACCTTTCAAGACTTCTTTGCCGAACTTTTTCCTAAACTCAATTAAAGTCAGGTTGTTTCTCTCTTAAGTTTTTTTCACATAAACAAAGAAATATTGGAATTAAAAATACATTAGAATTCATAAGCAGATTTATATTGCAAATTACACCAATAAGTCATCATTCTAGGACTTTGCACAGATTTACTTTACCTCGCTGTAGGTGTACATTAAATATTCTCTCTAGTGGCCGCAGTCGTTAGAACAGCTTTTGTTATGGAGGCCGTTCATGCTCTTACTGTAGTTTGTCAGAACATATTTGATCTCTCTCCATATTAACGCCTGGAGCTCTGTCAGGTATTACGGGAGATGGAAATGTGCTTTGACTCTCTGGGCCACCGACACGCACATAAAGATTTTATGATGTTTAGATTTGGCGAGGTCAAGCTTGGCGCTTAACCCCATCATGGCGGTCATGAAACAACATTTCCTTTAGAGTGTGCGCTCTGGGCAATAAGCCGTAAAGTGGGATCAGGGAGCCGTGTTAACCTCCTGCGTCTTAAGTTATATATAAAGCGACCTCACCGTATTTTTCCGGCCTGGTGACTGGAGAGAGCTCGGTGGCAGTAACAGTTCACTGTGAGTTGAAGAAACCCTCTGGCTGTTTCTAAAAGTAAATTTGGGAAGATCT